AATACAAATATCTTAATGTGAACTTCTAAACTCTCAAAGACATCACCTACAACATGCCGTTTCCAACAAAGCGTCGTTTGTCACTCGATTATCATTAATACTATTAATATCGATAATTAGGTGGGTCCTTAATAATAAGTATAAAAACTCTTTTGAGCAGTTTTTTTTTTAAATTCAGTACATACATTGTACATATACGCTTCTGAAATTTACTCGTTTAAACCTTCCGACACCAATTATCGACCTAGCCCTCCCACCGTCCCAACAAACCCTGACCTCCTCACCTTGTCTGTTGGCACACGTACTTTATACAAACTCTATAATTACTGTACAAAGTACACAACTCTCTCCGGCTGAAGAGAAGGTGACGTCAGTAGGTGGGAGGATCAATAATGGAGACAGTGGTGATTGGAATGGCTTCTCTAATAACATGGCAGAAATACAACTCCATTATATTAATTTACCAATCTTACATGGACAAATTGAAGATACAAGAGATGGTATCTAAGTTGTGTTAGGTTCAAAATGGAATGTCTGATTTTGAAGGTACTAGTATGCACTTTTTCCTCATAATACCCCAGTGAAAATTGACTTTTAATCAACTTAAACTCTCAAAATCAAGACGTTTCATATCATGACAGCAACCCAATGCAAATATCTTAATGTGAACTTTTAAACTCTTAAAGCCATAATTTATAACACGTCATTTCAAACAAAGCATCCTTTGACACTCGGTCATTATTATCATTATTATCAACATCGAATATTTTTTTTTATTCCAACATGTAATCACCAGACATGGTGACGACACACTCAAGTTTTTTCAACTTATATTAATGCCGCCACCAACACAGGGGACAAATACATGACAGGACAATACTCATTTACACCTGAGCTAAGTCAGAAAAGTCGTGTAAAGTGCCTTTCCCAAGGAGACAAGATCGGTGGCATGTCAGGACTCGAACCCAGGACTTTTAGTTCCAAGTTGCGCACTCTGCCGCTACGCCATACAACCCCGCAATATCGAATAGAAAGGTCCTTGAATTATTAACATAAAAAACTTTTTTGGGCAATTTTCAAAATCCAGTACTATACATACATTAAATACAAACGCAGCTGAAATGTACTAGTTTAAACTTTCCAACAACAATTATCGATCTATACCTCAGACATTACCGATGCTACCTGCAGTAAACTTTCCATGGCCCTCCCGTCGCCCCAAACAAACCCTGACCTCCTCACCTTGTCTGTTGGCACACGTACTTCTAAACACTATAATTACTGTACAAAGTACAAAATTTTCTATCCGGCTGACAAAGTGGTAGAACAAGATAGAGGATAACCTTAACGTTTTCAAGTTGCGTCGTTTGGTGAGATTCCTCCTATAATATCTTAGTGCATACAGTAACAGCTAGCCATTCTGAGGGTCTCCGTAAACTCCCAAAGAGCCTCCATTTGTCCCAACAAACTCTGACCCCCCTGACCCTGCCTGTTGGCACACGTACTTTATACAAACTCTATAATTACTGTACAAAGTACACAACTCTCTCCGGCTGAAGAGTAGGTGGCGTCAGTACGAGTGGGAGGTTTGATTATGGGAGGGTTTCTCGTATAACACAGCAGAAATATACCTCCATGATATTAATTTACCAATCTTACATAGACAAATTGAAGAAGGATACAAGAGATGGTCTTTAAGTTGTTTTAGGTTCAGAATGGAATGTCCAACTTTGAAGGTACTAGTATGCACTTTTTTCCTCACAACGCCCCAGTAAAAATGGAATTTTAATTAGATAGGAAGCTCATTTGCCTAACTTAAACAGATATCCAATTTACTTATTAACTAAATAGATAGGCCGTTTGCCTAACTTTGATAGGAGGCCCATTTGCCTAACTTTGATAGGAGGTCCATTTGCCTGACTTAAACAGATATCCAATTTACCTAGTAACTAAATAGATAGGCCGTTTGCCTAACTTTGATAGGGGGCCCATTTGCCTAACTACATGTACACAGGGAAGCTTTTTGCCTAACTTACATGTAGATTTGAAGATACTAGTACTTGCTGTGACCTAAACTACTTCCTAGAATGGAAGTCGATCTTCCTAACTTAAATACTTGAAAGACCAGTTGCCTAACTTAAACGGATAGCCAATTTACTTAACTAAATAGATAGGCCGTTTGCCTAACTTAGATAGGAAGCCCATTTGCCTAGCTTAAATAGATACCCAATTTACCTATGAACTAAATAGATATGCTGTTGCCTAATATTTGAAAGGAGGCCCATTTGCCTAACTACATGTAAACAGGGAGGCTTTTTGCCGACTGATGGAAAGGGAACCCTTGTGTATAAGATTATAAACTATTTGACAAATTGAAGATACAAGAGATGTGTTAGCTGGTGTGTTACGCCGAAAGGCGGTTATACCGGCTATACAGATGCAGATGCTTTTTGCCTAACTTACATGTAGATTTGAAGACAGCCGACTGATGGAAAGGCAGGGGACCCTTGTGTATAAGACTATAAACTATTAGAGAAATGGAAGATACAAGAGATGGTACCAAAGTTGTGTTAGGTTCAAAATGGAATGTCTAATTTTGAAGGTACTAGTATGCACTTTTTTCTCACAACACCCAAGTGACAATGGACTTTTAATCAAGTTAAACTCTCAAAATCATACTTTATATAATCTACAACATGTCATCTCAAACAAAGCATCGTTTGGCAGTCGATCATTATTATTATTAATATCGATTATTAGATGGGTCCTATACAATAAGTATAGAAAAAACTCTTTTGGGCAATTTTTTAAATTCACGCTAATGTAATTCACTTGTTTAAACTTTGCAACACAATTATCGATCTATTCCTCAGACGTTACCGATGTTACCTGCAGTAAACTTTCCATGACCCTCCCGCCGTCCCAACAAACCCTGACCTCCTCACCCTGTCTGTGGACACACGTACTTCTAAACTCTATAATTACTGTATAAAGTACACGATTTTGTATCCGGCTGACAAGGTAGCAGGACCAGGATAGAGGATAACCTTAACGTTTTCAATCTGCGTCGTTTGGTGAGATTCCTCCTATAATATCTTAGTGCATACAGTAACTGCTAGCCATTCTGAGGGTCTCCGTAAACTCCCAAAGAGCCTCCATTTGTCGCAACAAACCCTGACCCCCCTGACCCTGCCTGTTGGCGCACGTACTTCTAAACTCTATAATTGCTATACAAAGTACACAATTTTCTATCTGGCTGACAAGGTGGCAGAACAAGATAGAGGATAACCTTAACGTTTTCAAGCTGCGCCGTTTGGTGAGATTCCTCCTATAATATCTTAGTGCATACAGTAACAGCCAGCCATTCTGAGGGTCTCCGTAAACTCCCAAAGAGCCTCCATTTGTCGCAACAAACCCTCGACCCCCCCCCCCCCCCTCTGACCCTGCCTGTTGGCGCACGTACGACTAAACTATATAATTATGACAAAGTACACAACTCTCTCCGGCTGAAGAGAAGTTGGCGTCAGAACAGGTGGGCGAATGGCCTTTGCAACTTGTGCCGTTCGGAAGGATCATAACAATTTTAAGGAAACTTTAAATTCAAATACAAGGAAGCCTTCAACTGAGTTTCAGTAGAGGAAACCTACTAAACTTACAAGAAAACATTTAAGTCAAAAAGAAAGAGGCCCTGAAGTCATTTCACTAGAGGAAACCTACTTTACATATTATTGATTTTCAATGAATATGGCATGATCCAGAGGGCCATCGTGTATAAAATTTAAAGCTTGCAAGTCGTTTATGTTTTGAAACCCTGTAATAAATTAGTTTAGAAGAAAAGTGTAATCATACAAAATTCAGAAAAGCCTTTCGTTGCATAAAACACAGCAAATGGTACAATGATAGTCAATCCTAGGCCTAGCACCGTTCTCACCTATCCCTGACCCTTGGACCCTGACTATTGACACACGTAAAAGTGAGTCGACAAGCAGATGTGGGGTTTGTTATGGCTGGTTTCTGGCATTCTCCAGGGGTCTGAACAGGCAGAAGTGACCAAAGAAAAATGATCACCACTAGAAAGACTTAAGAATCGCCCTGAATAAAGGAAGAGATAGCGGAATTCTTTAAGGAAGAAAACAGCTAATTGTGACGTGACTTCGTACATATACAACCTTGGTGCCCGGTTATGGTAGCAGCACACAGTATTAATGGGCGACCCCCGGGGATCTGTGACGCGGGTATAGAAAGTAGTGCAGCGAATATTCTTGAAGGCTGGATAGAAAGCCTGATAAGAGCGTCAGCCAGACGTAAATTGCGTTGTGTGGTGTAGGAATGTATCGGGTTTGATACTGTATGATTTGAATTGTGAAGGTTTTGCAGTTCGTGTATAAATACGCCGTATTACGCAACTGGCTTTCCGGGTGAGTCGGCTGCAGTTCAGGTCACGTCCGTAGGAGGCGATTTCAAAGTGTACGTTGCGAGCAGATACGCCGACAGGATTTTTGGTTTGTAGATATTTTGTAGTTTATACCTTCTTCTCAAACATATTCGATTTTCGTATTTGTGAAGTGCACCCTACTATAATTTTTACCGCGTCGATGTGAGTCATCTTGGGGTCCTTAACTATAGAAATCCCCATAGGGCGAAAACTGTGTTCTGCTACGTTATGAACCGGCAACCATTTGACTGTTTGTAAAAGGTCGCAGGAAAACAACGTATTTGTAAGTTTTGCATTATTTGATATCCAATAACATCTGTAGAGTGTATATTTGGTGTGAATGTTTATGTTAATTGAACAATAAAATTATTGTGGCAGATGATAAAAATGTTAAATTTTGGAGTCACAAATAGTTTCACGCATTTGACAAAAGCAATTCAGTCGACATACCATCAAGTCATTAAAAGTTAACATTTATTAAAGATGACAAATGATGCGTTGGCAAGTGCACAACTTTTATTCATTCTGCCCAACGTGCTTTGTCTTTCCGACTGTACTTCGCCACGTTGTTTTGCAGATTAGCCGAGTCGGGAATCTACCCGGCTCTGCACGAGAAAGATGCCGGCCCCTCCATCCTGCAGTACATGCCGTCCGGACAGGAGGCGCTGCTGCACGAGTAGGGCTCCGCCAGCCTGGTGGAACCGGCTGAAACAAATTGAATGTAGAATATTAGATGTAAATCGATAACTAAATTATTTACTTCTATTAATTCCTAATAGTTCAGATAATTACTAATGAATGACGTATATTTGACTGCCATATTTGAGTCAAAATATTATTTTGTCCCAAATGATTAAAAACTATTACATTTAGTATTATAAAAAAACCTTTTCGGTGACTTGCAATGCACTCTATTAGTTAACAATGTAATCTAAACGATAAAAGCCCCAAAAACGTGCAACTGATGCCGACTTTACGGTGTACATTTTAGATAAAAAATCCATTGGTGATAATATGAATCCTGTATCTTTACGATAATGCATTATCTGAACATTTGATACTGGTTATTGTCAGTAGTAAATTATCGACAGTATCCTCTGAGTGTGAGGTTTGAAGTTGAATCTCTTACCAAGGCAGATGAAATGGTCTCCGTGGTCCTGACACTGCCAGTCGAAGGGACAGGCAACATCAGCACACAGGTCCAGGTCTGGGGACAAATCATTATATAAAACAAGTTATCAACCTGTTTACAGTTTAAGGTTTTGATCTAACACAATGAAGTTCTCTCAGCTGTAGAGCTTTCGATCAGTCATTCTCGTCTTCTTCAATAGACTGACCCAGTGTGACTTGTCATGTGGCTTCTTTGGCCTCATTGGGTCAGTCCGAGTGACTGGTTGAGCTCAAGGCGATCAAGAGAACTTGATTGTGTTGAATCAAAAGTAAAGCTTTAACCTAAAGATGTAACTACCAACACAGATGAACTTTCATGAAAGTTAACTTGGTATATCTGTCATGGCCAACAATCTTTTAGGAAAAGTCACCAAGTTTGGTGGCCCTAGCGCAAGCCGTTCAGACCCTACTAGTATCCGACATAAGTTGGCGCGGACACTTTTGCCCCCCACCCCGTCTAGATATGGTTCATTATCCTAATGAGGGCGACAATTGTCGTTAAAAAATTGATATTTGTGTAATCCTTTTGTTGGAGTAAAGTTCAACATTTAACTATGATAACTAATATCAACACAGATGAAGTTTTGTGATGATGTTAAGTTTTTGCCTACCGGTTTGACAGTTGTCCCCTTCGACTCCAGCAGGGCAGCGGCACGAGTAAGAGTTGACGGCATCCAAGCACACTCCGCCGTTTTGACAAGGATTGGAGGAGCATTCGTCAATATCTGCGGAGAAATACCATTTCAAACCATCTTCTTATAGTTCTTTTCGCGATCGTTAAAGATACAAAAAGATATATCATTACACGTACCATTCATTGAAGTCTATCTGATACGCGATTTAACGGATTCGATAAAGATATGGTATAAATATATCTATATTCGTATGTACGTATATATACGTATGTACATATATACGAACACACATAAACACACACACACACATATATAAATATATATATATATAAATCCTAGAATAAAAACAAATTTGAATAAAATGAATCACCAAATATACCTATATTGCAGAGGTCCCCCTCATATCCGTTCAGACAGTCACAGAAGCTGTAGGCGCCGTTAAAGCAGGTCGAACAGAAGCCGTTGGTACAAATGTTCTGTAGGCACGCGGCCGAGTCTACAAAAAAATACAGGTTTGAAAGAAACATCATCAAAATGCTTTCTTGTTACCTTCTTGCAATTAGCTATAGCACGCATATTTAACGCCTTACGCATAATAAAGGTTTAATGCCCCGCCCCGAGGTGTATATGGTGACTTACTCCCTGGTCAGGTGCGATAACCAACGAATAAACCACCAAGTGAGCGTAGCGTATATGTATATGTATATATGTATTTCAAAAATGAAATAAATGAAATACACACCGAGGATAAGTATGAAATAAATTATTCAAAATAAACTGCAATACGATTGAATAGATAAATACTACAAGTCTTAACACCACTGATTGGTCGACGCCTTCTGGCTACATGATAGTACTATCTAATGGCCAAATATTTAAATGCCTGAGATTCACACAATATATTTATGCCTGTCGTCAAGATCGCTTGTTTGTAACGCGAAATCTTAAGTTGTTAATCGACTTGAATGCTAAGCACTATCATGTGTGCTAGATCTTGGTTACTGACATGAAGCTCAACTGTGCCTACACAGTGTAACCGTCCCTACCTGACCGGCAGACGTAGTGGTGCTGTTCCATACAGGAGGCGGTTGCGGCCAGATGACCGTTGTTGCTGTCCAGGTAAGCACACAGGTCACAGGTCGTAGTAGGCTCATTGGGCAGCCACTGGAGCTGGCCTAACAGTCACAAACATATACATGTAAGATGTTAAGAGTTCAAACTTTCGGTCCAACACAAAAAATTCTCTCACCTAGAGCTTTCTACCAGCCACTCTGGTCTTCCTCAGTTGACGTGGCTTCATTGAAGTGTGACGTCAACACTGGGTCAAAGGTTTCTGGTAGACGATGTCGGCCCCCGTCGCGGTTCAGTGAAGGGTGATCGGTCCTGGTATCTACCAGATACCCAGTGTCGACGTCACACTTTAAAGAAGCCACGTGACAAGCCTCACTGGGTCAGTCTACTGAGGAAGACCATAGTGACCATTACTTTTTAATAGACATTCATCCTAGGGAGGATACTGTTTAACATCATCAACATTTAAGCATGTACTAAAAACGATTTAATTTTAGGCTAGGTACATGTCAAACCTGAGACACTGGTCCCGTCAGCATAGGTCATCACTCCAGGCGACAGCTTGAGTCCGATCCACGGGGACACGTCACTTCCGGTAGGGATGCTATCAGCGATGAGCCGCTGCAGCTCGGCCTCTTTCACATCCACCAGGTGCCCTCCCCTGGTCTGGCACTCCTGGCTCGCTTTGGGATAGGACAAGGCATCGGAGGAGAACAGCAGGCAGCCGCCAGCATACAGGACTGGGAAACATTGCAGTTCGTTGATTATCATCATTATCATTATCATCATCGTCATTATCATCATTATCATCATCATCGTCATCATCATCATCATCATCATTATCATCATTATCATCATCGTCATTATCATCATCATCGTCATCATCATCATCATCATTATCATCATCGTCATTATCATCATCATCGTCATCATCATCATTATCATTATCATCATTATCATCATCGTCATTATCATCATCATCGTCATCATCATCGTCATCATCGTCATCATCGTCATCATCATTATCATCATTATCACATCATCATCATCATTAGCATCATCATCATCATCATCATCATCATTAGCATCATCATCATCATCATCATTAGCATCATTAGCATCATCATCATTAGCATCCTAAATATGATAGTCATTGATATCATCATAACAATTTTGTACAGCGCCAATTCTAGGCCAGGTCATTAATTTTACCAACAGTAGTTATTCAATTTTGCAAAAAGTACCGTTATTATTTTTTTTCTAAAAGAGATACTGGTTGCTTCACAGCCACGAGTGATCAAAATCAAAATACAACGACTCTTTGCTATATCTTCCCCTATTGCCTGGCTATAACGCTCATGATATGTATATATATATATGTATTTCATTTACTTCATGGTTCAACACAAAACAAGGCTCATGAGAGCCACTCAAATAGTTTGGGTTACTGTACAGCCAGTGAGGACAGATGTTTGTTGAACTTAGACATGAAAAGTTTGTCAAAAGTGTGTCATAATGTAACAGATTAAAGAGCTGCACGTTTAAAATTTGTTTCTTATCTGCCTCAGCCCTCAAGTCTACTCTATGTCAATATGCACGACTACAGTTTCTGATACACTATACCGTGCTATGTGAGTAATATTATGTGTTTTCAAATATTTTAAACTCACCCGTTTCACACTTGTCTCCCACGTGACCTTTAGGACACACACAGCTGTAGCCGTTCACGTGATCCAAACAGGTTCCGCCTCCTAAACACGGACTGCTAGCACACTCGTCAATATCTGTGGTATTTAGTTATATATTACCTATGCTCTAGGTGTTGGAGTATAATAAAACAAAAATGATAGTGTAATATTGCGATAGTTAAAAGTTTAAAAGTTATTTCAATGCATTTTCTATGGTTGATTATCACTGTATTACTATTACAGTTTATTTACAAATTAGCATGCTGATATGATAAGCATGAAATTCTCAGTTAATTATCATCTTTAATGATTTGAATAATTTATGTTTTGAACCCTACCTATTTCACAGAGAGTTCCAGTATACCCAGGCGCGCACTGACAGGTGAAGCTGTTCACTCCGTCCTGGCATACTGCTCCATTCTGACAGGGGTCGCTGCTGCACTCGTCAACATCTGAAAAAGCGCACTTGTCAATATCTGAAAAAGCGCTGAAAATTCATTACATATCTTGTCTCATATGGCAAAAGTTGACGCTGCCCGAGTTTAGAACTACATGACTTTGTATAACCGTTGTATATAATGACGGAAAAGTTTGCTTTACATAAATAAGTAGAATGCACCAACTGTGATGAGAATATTTTAGCTATGATCATGGTGACTATTACACATTCACTGTGTATTCTGTTTTCCCGTCATTACAACACTGAAAGCCTACATGTGTACCAATAGTAAAACGTTAAACTTTATTCCAACACACAATTTACAGAGATCAAATTTTCAGCAACCACTGTCGCCTTCATCAGGATAATCAATGACCAATCACTTCACAACGTGATCTCGCGAGAATTACGGTTTACAAACACGTGACTCCCTGGCACTTTTGATCAATTGCTTACGTCACGTATGAGTAAAGTCTCGTGTGAATAAGGTCACGTGTTATGAAGTAAGTTTAAACTGTAATTTCCAACATACATTTTAAACTTACTTCATAATGACTTCTACCAACACAAATGAACTTTCAAGATAAGGTCACGTGTTTGTAAACCGTAATTCTCGCGAGATCACGTTGTGAAATGATTGGTCATTAATTATCCTGATGAAGGCGACAGTGGTCGCTGAAAATTTGATCTCTGTAAATTGTGTGTTGGAATAAAGTTTAACGTTTCACTATGATTACGACCAACACAGATGAACTTTCATGATACATGTGTACCTGTTGAGTTGTTTTTGTTGAATCCTGATAAATTGTGTTTAATAGATATATGTTACGCTTTTAGTCGCATTCTTTATGTCGAGAGCTCTCCGTACGTTATTTTATTTCATTTTATATATTTGTGAAACTTTCAAAAATTTCATGTCGCAATTCCTTCACATGATTGATTGAATTAAACCGAACTGAACTGTTTCAAAGAAGCTCCTGTGTTGTAAGTCTTCTTAATCCAGAAGAGAAGAGGCGATAGTTTCAACTATCAATGTCTAAGTTAGGTAGCTAACGGTATTAAACATTACTTTTTCGATTACAGACCGTGCATATTGTGAAAGCATGGAGGCGTACTTGTTTCACAGAGAGTTCCGGTATACCCAGGCACACACTGACAGGTGAAGCTGTTCACTCCGTCCTGGCATACTGCTCCATTCTGACAGGTGACGCCGAAGCATTCATCGATATCTGAAACCGGGCATCAAATTGAATTATGCGTTAGAATGTAACGTTTTCCCGATTAAGAACTATAGTATAACGTACACACAACGTA